AATCATATTAGTATATTCTCTTTCATTTGTACTACATTTCTATGATAATCTCGATTTTCCTGAAATAAATGAAACTGCTATCGGTCGTACTGTTTTTAGAAGAAACCTTGTATCGTCAAAATGTTTCTCTGTTCGTAACAATTCGGATTCTCGTTACCGTTGCACCTCCACAGTAACAGTTGGTGAACGGTGCCGTAGTCGAAACAGCAGTTTGAATATTCAGAAACGTACAGCTACCTACCACGCTTACACGTGCCGCGCAACTCTCTTTCCAAATAAAAAACGAGTTGCACTTCATACATGGAGTACACTGGAAGTAACAATCGAATTCGAGCAAACCCTGACTCTAGCATTCATTTAAACACTCCGTTGTTATCATCCTTCTAGGTTTTCATGTACAATATACATATAGTGAGCTTATAGCAAGGTTCATTGGATGTTGTAGAATTTAGATTTCAATTGTAGGTTCCGAATTGTAATGCTGATTTTTTTAATGCAATAATCAAATTGATTAACAAAGCGTTCATTGAAAATGTTAATCTGGTTTGCTAGCGAAGACGATGTGTGCTTATTAAAAATAAATCATGCGTGAGAATAAAATGAATCCGGGGGAATCGTATGATTTAACGCCTCTTTCAATTTCTCCCACTCCGGGTTTTAACCGGTTTAAAGTTTAATTAGAGGATTCGATCAGAAAGCAGCGGGTTGGTGGATGAATGAAAAGTGGAGAACGGGGGAAGGGCTCGTATTTTAACGTAAATACGTTATCGCCATAGAAATTCGCGGCGAATTTCGTTTTAAATCATCAGAGCCGGGCGGTAATGCGCGAACTTACGCACCGGGGTGGAGCTTTGGGGATGGGAAACTTTTCGAAGGGAAAGTTCTACTCGCGGGTGCGGCGGAAAGGCGTGAAATTCAGCCCGACGCGAACTTTCCGAGCGGCGACGACGCCCGTAGATCTCCGGAGGGCGACAAACGCTGTGCTGTGCAACGCGGCCGCGCCGGGCTCTCAACGGGATTTTGATGAAATCCCGCGCGGTTTATGAACTACCCGCCTCCTCCCTCGGCATCTATGAAAAGTAATCTGATCTTTCGGTTCGCGAAACTTTCCCTTCGCTCAGATTTCCTTACCCCCACCTCGTCCATTTCGATTGTTGTAATCCATCGCTTCGGGCATTTCCAAGTTTACAATAAAAACCTTCACTCGTTTGCTGCTTACTGAGAAGTAAATAGTAATTCAGATAGATCATCTGAATAGCGTACTATAGAAACTCGCTGTGTCTATCTTCGAAGAAGATGGAATTTATCAAACACAAGGATGAAACCTACGCAGATTTGAATATAAGTCCATAAGAGGGGCAACGATCGTCACAAGAAAGTGATCCTACGAATTCTGAGCATTTTATTTCGTGTTTCATGCTGCACAAATTGCAAACAGATTGGAATATATAAAACAAGGAGCAATTGAAGAAGCGTTCTGTCGATACAATAGCGTAAAACAATTTTTATACCGCGTCTCTGACGTATCAATCACTCGACTTTTTTGCTCTCAGATATACGAGTTCACGGGAGGGCGAGCAGCAGCGGCAGCTATAACGACGCGGAGAACGTTGTGGCGACGAAGGGGCGAAAAAGCGTCGACGGGGAGGTACGACCGCGAAGAATCGACAACAACACGCCGCAATCGATGTCGTCCCGTGGCTCCGGTTCGAATTTTCCGGCGCAATCTAGAGCGGCGATCTGCATAATCCTGCTATCCGCCCTGTCGTAGTCACGTCAGTCCCCCGTCCCGTTGCGCGTTACTACACGCCAGGCTTGAATAGAACGGAAATATCCGCGCGATCGGGGAAACAGAACCGAAAGAGAGAGAGAGAGAGAGATAAAATGTCCTAACCCCGGAGGGAGGGATCAAGATTCGTCCTGTTCATCATCATTTATCTCATCCGCGAAAGGGATCAATTAATGGGTTTCGGTCGCCGCCAATTTATCGACAACCGTTACCTTCCACCGTGGCGTGGCCACGTTGTATCAACGAAACGATTCTTTTCATTTTTTTCCCTTTCTCCAGCCGAACTTTTGCAATAAGCTTCCACAACGTGGATTTATAGGTCAATTAAATCCTCTAGTTGAATCGTTTTTGATCCGATTGATCAATTAACTTCTCTTTATGCTCAGTACATTCTTATTTATTTGTGATCTAGTCATTAAACACTCTCAGCTGAGTGATAATTGTTACTAATTATTATTTAGTTTATTCTTCTAGTCTCTCTTTTGAATTAATACTTTAAGAAATTTTAGTGTTTGATTTTCTTCAAACGAGAAATACTGTACACATATTTTATACCCTGATGCTGTCTCATAAACATCCTGTTATGCGATGAGTTATACAAATCAGTTAATGCATATTCGGCCTAATCAATGTCAATTGAAACCGCTGGTGCAATAAGAATATACAATAAATCCTTCTTTCATTTTATACCTTTATACATAATCATTCAATAAATCCAACAATATTTGAAAACATGTATAAGAAATTTTCCACTATAATTAATAGTTTTATATTTTAGCAAATTTAAATTTTTAGACATGAAATTCGAAGGTAAATGATTTAGGAAGTTCATACTTTTATTGCACTAATGGTCTCGGTTACATTAATGTATGTAATGTCACGCGTTAACGTTATTATGCAATTACATACTCACATGTACGCACCATATTTAAAATCTACATGCATATGCTAATTACTGGAGTAACGGTAGATTACCAGAGGGTAGTTCGAACCAGTGATATAACATTATTTCCGTACCGATCTCTATCATAGGAGCACGAGAGAAACGTATTCGCCGTGAAGGAATAAAACGGGATATGAAAAATTTTATATAAGTCACTTGTACATGTATCTATGTGTATACAAGAGTGTATATGTATGTTATCGACTAGAATAAGTCACCGTGCTAAGTGTTTTAAAGCGAGCGACGAGTTTTGTGATTAACTAATCTAGAAATTGCCGAAGGAAAGATAAGAGCGATGTGTAAAATCGGGCAGAGAACATTACCTGTACATTTTCTCTAACAAACTAGCCACTTTGCATATATATGTACATACAACATGTTAAGAGGAGTACGAAACGAGTATTGAGGCGAATCTGTATTAATTAATACTTGATATTATTAAAATTTGTATATATTACCAGTTCACACGCATAGAACGATTTTCTTTAAATAAAGGCTGAATATCATTTTAAAATTTCATAAACATATTTTTCCAATTAAAATTTGTATAATGGATACAAGAGTAAGATGATCGACGATCTAATTTCCATTTTAAAGAATACTTCCCTGATCACTTAAACTCAGCCTTCAAATTTCTGTTTATATTACATAAACGTATTGAATGTTTTTTATTTAAAAAAAAATCTTGTCTGGTTTTTATGCACTTATTCTATGCATTTGAACTAACGGACTATCAATATCTAAACTCTTGTAAATATCACTTACTTAAATATATATAGGTGTAACTATTATGAGTTGCACTCCTGCTGTTGGGATCGTGCGTTGTAAAATTGATTAATAATCAGTTTCGTTAAGAATGAACAAAGACAAGCATAATTCAAAGAATTTTAAATAATGTTTTCAATGTATATTTTATATTTAATCTAATGTTATGATGTTTTGATACGTGTTTCGAATTTAATGAAAATAAATGAAGTTATTAGTAAGCGAAAATACCCATAAGTAGTATTATTTATGTATTATATTTCCTTATACTGAAGTGCAATAGGTATGAACAATATTTGTTTGTCACTAACGAAACTAATTATGAAAACTGTAAATATAAAACTAGTAAAGTAGATATTATAATAATCTAATAATAAGTTTAGTTCAATTGTAACAACGTAGTAACTATCAGTATAGTGAGAAGTACCTCAATGAAATTATCGATTCCTAATTATGCAATATTTGAATCTCACGTATTTTTATTTCGACTTACTTGGAAAATTTTAATGTAAGATATTTCGTCGTCTAATTTATTCCACACTATGTATATAAGGTACAATTTTTTAAAATACGCTCAAAAGTAATAAACTAAATTGTGGTTATAATTGTGATGCATACAACGTTGATATTGCAAACATAGTGTTAATTTCCAGTAAGAAATTTAATTCATACTAATTGAAAACTTATTCATATATTACATACCTTTATTATGTTGAGGAATCGTGTGGCAAATTTCGTAGACAGAGATATGTAAAGATGATCTTTCCATCGACGTAGGGTTAGTCCAACTTTGAAAGTCAAACGCAGTCAAACGCGAGAGTAAATCGGAAGTGTATTATCGAACGCGGATGAAGTGGGATAGAGAAGTGCGAGTGTTTAGTCCGTCGTGTAAAACATTTTAACGCACGTAACCGTACATTTCGCATAAAGACTAATCAATAGTTAATTAAAGAGTTAAAAAAAAGCCCGTAATTCGTTTAACAGCAGAAATTAATTTAAACTATAACCAAACTTGGTTCACAATATTCTAATAATTAATATGCACTTTCGATTTGAATTATTTTCTATTTTCTAGTTTTATTAATATGTACTTTAGTATCAATTATTAATTAATTTATTAAGGAAATCCGTATGTGTTCGTAAATTGGGATTAAAGAAAGAATTGTGATTAAAATGTTTTCAAAGTAGAGATTTTGTCTCAGGTCTCGGATGTGCAATGTATGATTACATTCGTGGTACGTAGTACAATAGGAGAATGATTGTAGGATTTTAATGAAATTAGTCGAAAAATGTATCTTAAGTAATTAAAGAAAGTACTTTCTATTTAAAATTGTGTTGTCTGTTCTTCATCAATAATGAGGATAATAACTATATTGACGGTGCATTGTTTATTGTGTGATAACAATATTTTATTACGAAATTGTATATATATTTTACTACATAGTAGTGAATATACAGAACTTTCATTGTTTAACGAATACGTTATATAACAACATTAAATTTATGGTAATCAGTCAAAAAATAATATCATTTAATACAATACACTTATTATATTAAATGTCATACAATATCTCTGGGAGAAAGATTCCAATATGTACATACAATTCTCTGTTCTTATTATTTTAATTATTCGTATAATTTCAATTTGGTAATCATCAAACCTGTAGCTAACAAACTTATTGGTACTATCAGTTATAACCTCCTAATAGGATTTCTTAACAATTAATTTTATTAAAAGTTCACAGCTATGAGCAAACGACATATTTAAAAGAAGTAAAATCGATTATCGCAGACAATAGTAAATGAATATAAAAATATAATTTTTCACGCACTAGAATTTTGCGTTTCTGTCGTTTTCTTCTTTGCATTAGGGCTTCTAGTGATGTTACTGAATTTCCAAAGTCCTCCCATGTACCATAATACGACACAGGATAAACTTAAGATTGAAGTGAAATGAAGAGCACCCACATAGCTCATCATGTAGTCGTGTACTAAACCTGAAGAATTAATACCGAATTTATAATTTCTTACAAGCCACGATTTCATCATTAAACGTAGAATAAATTAATTATTTTATTATATTCGCAAGTTAAAAAATAAGTGAAAAATGTATGAATATACCTATGAGTGGTCCTATGGCAATGGACAGAATACCATTGCAAACCATTTGCATCCCATATGCGGCCGGCAGTCTTTCAAGAGGCACATAATCAGGTATGATTAACGTTTGGAAAACAGCTTTCGTCCCTTTGGCAATGCCAATAATCAGTGCGACACCGATCACCACGATGTAGGTATCTCCCCATGTTGACAATACTTAAATACAGAAAATGTGATTTATTACCAACAGTCATAATCTATTCTTATCATGATCAATGATTATAAATGAAAGCTTCACACTTTTAAACATGAAACATGATAAAGCAAGCTGATATCTTATCATTACTTGCTACGTATACTATCAGAAGTATATAATATTTATGTAAAATGCATGAAATATTAAATTTTAAAATTAACTCTCAGAAGTTAGAATTTATCAATTTCAGTTCATTTGATATACTGCGAATCATAACTATAAAGGCAATGAAATATATGTATATACAACATACACGTGCACCACTGTAAGAAAATTAAATAGAGCAGATTTATAATAATACATACATATAACAAAATGTATATTAGAAAAAGAATGTATATAAGATCTACCGTTTTAATTTGGAATGTAAAATACATATTGGCCAATTGTTAAATATTATTTTTCACGTATGCATGCATTCGTATGAGATAGATTTAGTCAAGTTTCCAACGCGATTTTATAGTTAAGATACGGCGTGTACGTAGTTGAGCATAAAACCTGAAATCAACCCACCCAGCAGATCTTAAATTCGTTGCCGTGAACGGATCGATTTCTCGTTTTCGAATTCAATGTTACGTTGCTGTACGTACTGGTCCTTCCGAGAGTGGATCCGACCAAGGACAATACGTAAAGGTTCCTGGACGTCCATCCGATCCTCTGCGCCAGCAATGGTACACAGAGACGTCCGGTGATATCCGATACCGCCTGTATTGACATTACCGTGGCGATCGACGTCCTCTCCAGTCCGGACAGCTCCGTCAGGACAAAAGGGATCATCATGTTGAAATTCGTCTCAGCGACTAAAGACACTCCCATTCCTGGAATAAATTACAATTATATTCAATAAGATTGAATTTGTAGATTCTGTTTTTCTATGGGTATACGTTTTATATAATATTTATAAGGAGTCGTTGTTTAATCCTGGAAGCATTGATGTTCCCATGTTATTTCCTTTGCGGGGGAGATGTCTTCGCGATCTTATCAAATATTTATTTTCACGTGGGAGTTGTTTAATTGATATATCGTTTGTATTTTTATCAAGAGTAGTGCACTCTTGAAACAGTTTGACTGTGATAAAACTCGTTGATACTTATCATCTAATTCAAGTCTATAAATATGTTTCGCACTCTTTCAGAAAATTAGATCGTCAGGTCCTCAAACGATTGTCTAAGTTCTTATATAAGATTTTCTATTGTAAATAGTATTACCTAGTATAACAGCGACGTAACGACTGTCTTTTAGAAGAGCCAGATCCATTTGCTCTGATATCGTTGCCCAAACCGACTTCTTCTCATTCTTCGTGCCCTGAGTATTTCCCAGATCTTTTGATAAATTTTCTCTATCCGTCTGCTGCTTTTCATCTAACAATCGACGATTAACAACACCGTTTTTAACATCGACTTCTTGTTCTTTATTGAGTTCCTCGGTTTGTTTCAATTGACAGCTGACATCGTTGCATTCTGTGACATCATTGTCATCTTTTATGTTTTTCATCTATCGTAAACGAAATCTGACGGTGAACGTTAATCATTTTGCCATTCCTTTGAAACTTTAAGAAGACACTGACAATGAATAAAAATTGCATCTATTAATTCTCATAATCCAAATGAAATAATCAAAACGTATGTCATATTTCAACTTTTATAGAAATAACTTAGAACCTTATATCTTAATTTTTACAAAAATGAAGCATAACGTTTTTCATTTTGTCAACACATATTGTCCAGCGTCTTCTTAATTAGTTATTTTTAGCATTCCTTAAAACTCACTTGGGTCTCCTTAAAAGGTTGCAAGAACGACGCTCCAACCAGTGAATGCATTGCTATACTTGCGAGTATTAACAGGGTTCCTGTAGTAGCGTAATTCTCCAATAATATTGCTATCAAAAGAGGCATTAGAATTGGCCCGAGACCTGTCAGCGTCACTGACAGTCCCATAGCGATGTTACGCTTCTTTCGAAAATACGTGTTCATGGCGAGACTCGTTGCTGGGAACATAATCCCATGACCGACACCTAATTGGCATAATTTATTTTGTTACAAATAGCAAAATGGATTGAGTAAATTCGTGAAGAATTAAGGATGTATTGGCTATACAGTCAATCCCAAAAATTTATGTACCTTAGAAAAACGCATTTGCTATAATTAAAAAGAAATCAGACGTCGGAAGAACAAAGCTAATAATACATAGCTACGTGCTAAAAAGTATAGAAGGAAATATCCAATTAATTATTGACGCTGGCGAAAAAA